GTATTTGGTCCTCTGAAAAGCTGGTCATTAAGAGAACAACCTTGATAGACAGCCGCACAATCAAAAACAATTCTCAATTTTCCAGGCTTTTTAGGGTTGATAACAGGCTGATGAGGAATATACCAACAAACAGCATCATGGTCAAATTCTTCTTTACTAGCTTCAGTGATGTAGCCCTTACTTAAATGTTTATTCATCACAACTTGATATTTCTCCAAAAGACTGTTATCTTTCATAAACCTCTTTCTTAAGCATTCTAGTCTGCGTTCAGCTAGTTCCAAATTATTCGGTAGCCTTGGCTTATCATACTTCCATGGTAGACCAACTTGGAAATGACCACCCTCCAATTTAAACGAATTGCTAACTATTTCTAGAGCATTTTTATCCTCGACAGAATATCCATTACGAAACGCATCTGTATCTTCGAACTCATGATTATATAATCTTTCTAAATCTCGCAAAATATCATTAGCGGAACAATGACACCATTGAACTTGATGTAGAGACCTTGATACTCCCTTAGGACCTATAATCATCCAACCGAGATGAGTACGCACAGCAAACGGATGCTTCCTGTCCCCCAGACGTTGTTCCAAGACCCAATGTGCATCCGGAGCATCACACCCAATCAATATTCCTACAAAATTACTTCGCAACCTCGGGAGGGTTATGTCCCTTAGGTGTTTCCATCGCTTCAGTTGGAGTTCGTTTAAAGGTGCTGCATGATCGATCGGAAGTTTCTTGGTCGTGTAAACTTTGTTGGTCTTTATAGAACCCCGTTCATCTAGTGAAAATACCTCTAAATTTACCTCCAAACATTCACAATTGGTAGTCCCGTTCACAGTCGCCACCTTTATCGAAGTCTCTTTACCTTTAATACCCAACTGATTAATTAATTCTTCACATACAAGAGAAGTGTACGAACCACTATCTAGAAGTGCATATGTTTCCAAACATCCTTTGGGACCGTACAGTCTGACTGGAACGATACCCAAACAAACCTTTGAGGAGTTCCAATCCTTAGCTAAATTCACCATATGACTATCAATACTATCAATATGCAATAATGAATTATGCCTGACCTTGCAATTCTCAACGTGGCACTTGAAGCCTGAGTTGCATGACAGAGCTATGTGACCTTTCCTAAAACATAAGTAGCATAGACCACCTTTTCTTACCTCCTGCCTCCTTTCCCTTACATTCATTTTTGATAACCTTGGACAATCTGTCGCCTCATGATCACCTACGCAGATTTCACAATGTGGTACCTTGACTGAGTTATTTGGGTCTCGTCTAATTGCATGAAAGCGTGATCTCCTATCCACTTGGCCTTCAGAATTCCTTTTACCGAACCTTGAGTTACACTGTACCAATCTACCATAACGGGTTCGGGCAATTCTGGCCCTCTCTTCTACGAAGACCACAAATTCTTCAAAGCTCGGCTCCTTCCCATGCATCATAATCTTATCGGCGACTTCCACCCACTTATTCTGCAATTCTAGTGGTAGGCATGAAACTATTATCTCCAAATTAGCCGTAGAATTGACGTCAGACATGTATCTCATTTCCTTCAACGTTATACATACACTACGTAACTTGATCGCAAAGTCAGTTAATAAGTCAGCCGATCCTCCGACAGATTTATGGTTTAATAACTCAGTGATTAGTTCTCGTGCAACAAGATGCTCTTTACCAAATAAATCATATAAAATTCGTTTACCCCTATCATAGCCTAAATGACTGGGCAAAGAAACGCAAGATTCAATTGCTGTTCTAGCCTTTCCTTTGCAATAATATAATAAATACGACAGCAATTGGCTCTTATCTGACAGTTTACTCTGTATAAGGCTATTAAACTGACTGATGAAACGGTAATACTGACCCGGTTGCCCATCAAAATACATCATATCGATCTTAGGTAAAACCATGTTACTAACCATTGTATGTAACGTGTCCTTCAGTTCGCCAACCCAATCGACCTTTGAGATGTTACATACGTTCCCTGAGTGACCATTACACCCAGTATCACAATCCAAATAATTTTCCACTTTAGCATTTATCTACAGGTAATCGTTCTTCGTCCTCGACGGCCTTGCATTCTAGCTCGGCGATATCAACCTCTTCTTGAAGATCTAACATCTTAAGTTGCCGTTCCAATTCAAGTCTCTTTTCTAAATTCCTTTTCTGCAGTAATGCCTTATCTAACTTTAATCTAGAAGCACTTAGCTGGCTAGAGGACATACTATTAATACTAACATCATCACATTTATCATCATTAACATCAGACATACCACAAACAGCTTTAGAAATTTTACTATCCATTTCGTCATTTTCCTTCAACCTTTTGCTCCGCGTTTCCATCGTATTGATTGTTCCAAAGAAATCGATTACCAAAACAATTATGAGTTAATCCACACGAAACCGACCAATAGGACCAGGAAATTGAATCCAAATATCCAGGCGATCCAAGGTATAAACACAGAACCAATAATTGAAGAACTTTATGTTACGTCCAAGTTTTGCTCGTTCTAGTTATTGAAGTACGGACTATCGATCTACTTGCAAATTACGAACCCAAATTAATAACAGAACCAAACTCCAATTTGGATACCAAATTTATTCGTAATTCACAAATAATCGACCAAATGTCGTTCTAACAACAATAATTATAATAATTACAAAACAAACCTTCAATTTTGTAGGTTCCCGGAGCAAAACTCCCAAATACCAAACCAAAGATAGAGAGAGCACCAAAATACCAAACCAAGGACAAACCAAAATGTCCGAAATAATGATATAAACAAACAAGTTCAAAGTTAAGTAAAACAATTACATCCAAAAACACAGTAAATTATTAATGTACAATAAAAGGTTTTGATTTGCCAAATGTCTTCAGTTTTCCCGTAACAGTCCCATATGGTAAGGAAAGACGATTAAACGCTGCTAAATTTAGTAAGCTTTCAGAAGAGTGTTTACCAACGACAAACTCGATGGGTTTACACTTCTGGCTGGCTACATCTTAGGGTCATCACTGCTCCACTATGGGGGGAGTGATCTGTAGCGGTAAATAAATCCCCAAACTAAATAGCTCTGTAGGTTTTCGACATTGGATGCTGACCATATGTTTTAGTGGACTCATCTAGCTGAAGGCGCTCGGTCATGCATCCGCACCAGATCACGTGCTGTAACGCTGTGTTCAACATCAACCGCAATTACTAGCCAGATTAGATCAGAGATTCCCGATATATCGGTTATCGCCAAATACACTCTTTCGATCTCCTCGACTCTGTCTTTTGATTTCTCTCGGTGGGAACAAAGTATATCAGAAGGTGTTACTGGTAGAAGCGTTGTCAAACACTGAATATCTGTATCATCCTCAGTCTTTTGAATTGATCTAGTTAACGTAAGTCTAAGCATTTCACTCGGTGCATCGACCTCAATTGTAGGCGTATAAACAAAGGCTTTTTATTTAGGGTTATGCATTCTCTACGTTCTCTTTTATGAGCTACGTTTTTATTTACAAACTTCTCAAGATATCTGTTTTCTTTCACGATCGTGTATAATTTCTTTGTTTCCCCTTCAACCGTATCTAGAAAGCATAAGGTGTTGATTTTATGATGCAGTGCCTTAATAAAGTTCCTTTTGTATTGCGGAGGAACAAAACTAAGAAAGTTTGTATATTGGCACGACCGTGTTCGTTTTCTTAGCGACCCGTCTTCTCTCCTTGTAAGTAGAACATCTAGAAAGGCTATTCTACACTCATTTTCCTTATCACATGTGAAATACTCCAGAGTCCTTCATATTCGGCTCGTGACTCTAACTCTCCAACAAAAATCTGATCGAGTGTGCTTAGCAGTCCAAATCAATATATTACACAAAATATATGATTCGTGAACTAACACTGAGCCCTTAAAAATTATCTGTAAAGTTGAGCGGATCAACACCACAAAAGATTGAACAATATATTTTGGATTATATACCGAACTACCTTAAGGTCAAGTATCGATCATGCGGATTCAGCTATGCACTTCAGGGAACTGGTGTATACTGTAGCCAATCGACTCTTGTACAGTTCTGATATGTTTTCATTTTGAAAATTCTATACGTTCTTCAGTTGTTTAATGTAAGGGAAGGAGTCTAAGCAGAACGTGACGGTAGGTTAGGCTGAAAGACAACCACATGGTATGGTTTAATCTGAAAATTACGCAACTTACCCACTCATAATTTTCTGGGCGAATATTTTGAGAATAAAATTTACATACACCAGAAACCGATCAAATTGTGGTTGCTTCCAGTTCCAGATTAACTTACTACATTTCTACAATCCTGAGGGTCACGAAAGTGCTATTATCCACTTGAAAGTTTTGTACCCTCCGAACCGAGGCGTGAGACTTTTCAGCTCTATTTTTCAGCGCATATGTGTTCATAGTCTGGAATAGGTAGATACTGTAGTCAAGCTCAACCATTCTGTAAAAAGACCCTTGATGCATTCCTTAACGACATTTGACAGTTCGATGATTTAATTGTTTGGCTGAGATTACCTTCGAATCACTTCGTGAGCTTCAGCACTTCAAACACCATCATTTTCTATAGATCCTAGCCCGGATCGATTGCTACTAGACACAGAAGATCTATAAAAAAGTCGTCTTTCAATGGTGACCCAATGATTTAACTCATTTGGGAAACTTCATGTCTTGATAGTAGGATTCTCTCAGTCCAAATCTTGTGTTATTTCCACCTTCTACCTTCACTCCAGAAAGTGAGCTTAAACTTTGTGGTTACTTTGTCATCCATTAAAGTCTTTTCATGTTCTTTGCTCTTCTACATTCTCCCTCCCACTACATATATTTAAGACACAGCTTATATCTGGATATAGCTGTACCGATACAATAGAGTGGCAACAGTAGACACTATCGAAGATCGTGGCTTTGGAGTAGTCACATATGAGCTCTAATGTGCCAATCGGTCAACATTTTCTCCACACAAACTTATTGTATATTAGAATGAAACTGGGGTAATTTTGTAACGTGCGTTACGTAGTGTGTATAACCCAAGTATGTGTATCAACAAATATATCAACAAATTAAAATAATCGCGTCGATATCAAGCAAGACGAAATCTTGTAAAGAAATTTATTACTAGGTTTGCCACTAATCTTGACTAGGTAAATCGATTGTCGAAAAAGTGAGAACTAGATCATTAGAAGTCAAGTGTAAAGATAAACTATTAAGTTATCCTTCGTTGCATCGTAACTGATATCGGTTCGAAATGGAAAACCTGTGAATTACCGTCGATCCAGGTTTAATTGAACTGTTTTAGATTCATGCTTGTGTAATTAGCATTTTACTAGCCAATGTTGATGTTATTCTGAATTTTGTAGAGCCATACATCCAAAAGTTTGTCACGTTCTTCTGTTTTTAAGATGGGAATATTCTCATCGACCTGTTAAGGGAATTTTTTATGTAGTACGTTACTTGTAATAGTATCACAACTTTTTTCTGTGTCATATATCCTACCAGTCATTCAAAACAATGACAGATATTCTAAAGTTATGAAATGAGTTTTCAAGACAGTGCTTTAAAGACTTTACTTGTAATCCCATGTGTAATAAGTACGACATGCGACTGCAACAATAAATTGAACCATATGATTGTGGGTTAATAAGAAATAGTCATTTCTTAAAGTATGTGATACAACTCAAGGAAATGAGAATAATTTCTTGCCCCATCCCAAAAGTAAGGTTTCAGTCGCAATCTCCCAATCTTGAGGAAAATTTTAATTAGTTTTTTGGTAGCCATAATATAAAATTTTGGGGAAATGCGACAAAAATTTCAAAGGTTCCCCAATATCCCAGACTTTGAGGATAAAATACGAGTTTGTATATGACGTTGGAGTAAACATCAGAATCCTTCCAAACCAGGAAACGGGATTCTTAGTTGTAAATTCAAAAAACACATGAACAGCAAGAAAATCGTCCCAGATGATACTTTGTAGGATGATTCTTAAGTTCCTCAGTATTCCTTACTAACTATTGCTTTTTTTTGAAACTAAAAACTAGCTCATTAGGAATATAACAGAATGCCATCAGACTCGCATTCTATGTGATGTGTTAGTAAGTATCCGTAACTAATCGCTTGTTAGCTTAAAATGTACTAAATGCTTATTTCTTGTGATTTTACTATATGAGATAAGTTCGTCATGCAGCAAAATAAATCACTATCGGTTTGTAAACAACTAACATCGCAGTAAAGGTCTGAAGTTGAAGCTGTACTACTTTCTGGACAGGGGTAGAAGGTATTTCCTTTACGCCATCAGAAACCTTAGCTGTTGCTCCACTGCCTTGTGGATTCGTCTTCTAGACAATGTTTCGGGAAGTGGCCGTTTAAACTATCACTCATCTCGGTATAGACACCCGGGTAGTATCCTAGCCCACATATAAACTAAATGATAACTACAATTAGAAAATCTATTCATGCTTTAATTCCCACTCGTAAATCGCACTGAAAACTGCTTGTGAATACTCGTCACTTATCTATCCCTTTATTTCTATTTTGTATATTATCTTATTTCTCAATGTCTACAGCAGCTCGCCTATGGTAGAAACCTTGTCCTTTTCAAACAATCTAAAGTCACTGACTTGTCGTAAGTTAAATTCTATTACCGAATAAGAATTCTGCAGAAAGTCTTAACACCGATGTCTGTTATCTATCTGAGACCCGTATTCAAGACTCCAGTGAAGCACTACAAATTCGCTTTCCATCTGTCATACTAAGCTCCAGAGCACTGAATCAGTAAAAGTTAATCGAGTTTACACTAATGTTAGATCAGAAATTTCCGTCAAGAAGAAATTGGTATGAAGAACTGCCTTTATCATTATCTGCACCTACGCTCCAACGAACTGCAGACCGGGAATTAAAGTGTCCCAATATCCTAGAATGGAGGATAGTTGTTCCCATCTTTAAAAACGGTTTACACCACCCATACAACAACTATCGGGAGATAAATTTGCTTCTGATTGCGTTCAAACTACTGCCTTCCATCATGTTATGCGGATTGTTCAGGACTCTTAAAGGATTGACTTGTGAAGAGGTTTGCTTTTATTCTGGTCGACGGTGTATTGATCATATTTCCGCCGCCCGTAAAATTTAAGGCACTGCCACATTTATTGCAAGTTAGCAATTTTTACGTCTCTTGATATCATACCCACCTTTAATTCTTTGGAGATAATTGTATTCTGGGATTGTTTGTTGTAAAGTGATGTTCAGTGACCATGTTTGCTCGTTGTTGTTTCCAGAAGATTTTCGACGTTCAGTGGCAACACCATCTTAGTAATGCTGAGGTCCCGCAACTTGCATTAAAGCACAGTGACGATCATCTGATTTTATCACCATTTTAAAAGACCGACTTCGGTGGCTTGGATATGTACCACAGATGTCATTCCAGAGAATTCTACTTCGTGCATTATTTGCCAACGCTGGGATTGGTTAGAAAGAGTGAAGGTGTGGTCATACAAGAACGTCCGTCTAAGTTTGAATGGATAGTTTCACAGACTTCGGGCACCGACTTAATGTAAGGCATTGAAGAGGAAGAATGTATTTCTAAAACCTCAGCGAATAAATTTGAAGTAAATCCAACGTTTCGCTTGGCAATCTGGTCTAAGCTCTTTTCAAGAAAATATAATCAAAATTATCGAATATAAACAGGTACATAGTTCTTCGGTTAACTATATACTAAATAGGTCATCCAATCAATGTTACACATTGTTTAAAGTAGGTATTTTCTTTAGTGCGTATGAGATTTGTGGTGTGAAACGAAGTGTGTTAAGACAACAGATTGTTTGTATTTGTAAGTGGGTATGAGGTGTGAGATGGAATTTCATTCACTATTTATCGCTTATTATCAGTGAGTTTCTAAGAAATCGTGCAATGTTTATATATGATATGAATGCCCCCAAATGCCCTGGTACGACTAAGAGTGGGGAGAGTTCGCTCACCCTCTCGAAATGCTCTCACATGGCAACGCGTATATAGCCTATGCCAGGGAAATCCTACTTTCTCGTGGCGGGAGTGTTGTTTACGAAATTGAGAGGACGAAAAGCGAATGTCCGGCACATTAACCGGGTTGGTGGACATGGAGAGTCTACCTAGGGGAGTTGGAAAACCCTGATTCCAAACCAATGGTGCACATGGGCTCCAGTACCCTGAGGGAACAAATGGCGTATGAACCAATTATCGATCACCGGCTACCATGAGATTGCGTCTCCTTACGATGCTCCACTGCCTCGTGGATCAGAACTTCAGGTCGAAGGCTCCGGGTGTGACCCCCCAAAGAAACCACCTGATTCGGTCTGGACACCCGGGCAGTATCACAGCCCTCACACAAATCGAATCAGATTTATGTTGCGCATATGTATCTGGTGCCACCCTGTACCAACATCTATGTGTTCAAATAAATAAAATATGATATGAATGAAATATGTCTCAGCACGCTTAAAGTGAAGATAAATAAACAAAACGAAAGTGAAGGAATGAATATTTGTGTTATTTTTTTGTCCCATTTAATTGTTTAACATATTCCAATAAAACAACTGAATAAAATCGTTGAATGCAATCGCTGTTATTCAGATGATACGAGATAGATAAAATGGAATAGGGATTTCAGGTTTATCGGTTGCCATAGGGACATCTAACTCTATTCCATCTCTTCTATTAATACCGTTTAGATTTGCCCATATGTGTATGGCTTCAACTGTTAGTCTTTCTTTGTAAGAGAACTTTTATGAAGGATTCTTGTGTCATTGTACCTGCTTCGGTTTGGGCACCAGAGCAGTATCCCAACCCTCACACAAATCGAATAACTTAAACAGCGCATATCTATTTGGTGCCTCCTTATACCAATGTTTGTGTGTGTAAATAAATAAATAAGTAATGTGTTATTGTAACCCAACTCTCTTGAGTATAATGCAAACGCTGATTTTTTTCAAACGTTTTTATATTATCTGAAGATTGAGGAATGTGCTCTAAGCAATTTGTGTTCCTTCACCCTCACATTCGGTTATCATGATGTCTCACCTACATATATAGCATTACAATCTCTACATTTGATCTCATAAACACAATTTTGTTGTTCTTCCTTGTGTATTGAGTCTTCGATTCTTACCAGTTTTTTTCTTAGAGTATTGGTTGTTTAAAGTAATACTCTTACATTTTGAAGATTTGGGATTCTTCTGATCTCTACTGAAATTCCTTTACGATATTGAGTCACCGCCTTATTACCATCGTAACAATCCTTGAAGTCACTAACTTCCAGTTTGAGCCATGTTAGTAGATGCAGAATACGTGGTTGAGGTCCGCGTGACTATCGTAACCAATGGTTGGAGACTGTATGATATGGCTCAGAACTGATCACAATAGCGTAGGTTTATACACTCTTTTTCTGCCCTTAAACCGTGAAATTAAAATTGCTTTATACCTTTCTTCTTATCAACTAATTCTTTCTTCCTGTACTATCCATATATGAAGTCTTTTTTTACTACCACTGAAGTAGCTGTTTCAATGGATTAGGTATTTATATTGTTGGGCTAATGAGGTGTGGCAACTGGGACCGATGTATATATGTACCTGGTCCTATGTTGTAGCTGGCTGACCGTATTAACCCATTATTTTCGTTGATATAAATATTCATAATTAAAGTGAATATAAATAAATTCATTTCAGTTTCTTTATAACTTTTCGTTTCACACCACACGTCTCATACACGCTAAAGAAAATACCTAATTTAGACATTTTTAACGTGATTCGATAACCTATTATGACGGGACGAAAAGTCAAAATTGGATTGATTTACTCATTATGATTTTTGTTCAACAATAATTCCGTTTGGATTCAATGTGATTATTACTCAATGTAGTAGTATTTACTTTGTTTTCTCATATGATATTTTATTCTGTACGATATTCTTGTATTAAGTTAACATGAACCATACTGAGCATATGATTTGTCATAACTAATGATTTTTCATATATGTGATTTCATCCCAGCTATTAATCAAAAGTGAGTGTATGAATCAATATATAAATGAGTGTATTTCCGACTTGTCGTGGTTTTTGCTTCTGGAATATATTTCTCTCTTCCGAACTTGGACTTCTCTCTCTAGTTAGCGGGGCTGGGATGCGTCGGAATAACTCAATGACTGGAAGGTGTCCGAGAATGAGCGGTCAGTTGGGTTTAGAGGCAGAATTAAGTTACAGTATCTATTTAGTTCACTAGGATCCAGCTTCCAAAGCAGCAAACGGACTTTCCAAGTGTCATCTTGATTAGCAAAATCAAATTTGAATAAGTCTTCGCAACGCCGAAACCACATACCAAATGTGACATTGGGTTCAGGATCGTAATGGAACTCACAGATACTGCACGCGATACCATCAAATGAAGGTGCAGTAGTAGTAGAATTAGAAATGCTTGTTCGTGTGTTAGGCAAAAGTTTTGTATCTGCTAACATCTGGATAAGTTTCAGCTGCTGCTCAAACGATAATTCCACTTTTGAGGGATCCATGTTTGCGCCAACCTCGTCGCCAAATTTGCTATGTTTAAAGATATTTCGAGTTCACCTAATCCGAGAACGGAACGAAGACTCTGTAACACAATGACAGATAAGCTAGTTATTCCAACGTCTCCCAGCCCCGCTAACTAAAGAAAGTAGTTCAAGTTCGGAAGAGGGAAATATATTCCAAAAAAGCCAGAAGCACGAAAAACAACTGCAATGAGTACAGAATAAAATGTTATACGGGAAAACAAAACAAATACTACTACGTTGAGTAATCATCACATTGAATTTAAACGGAATTAATGTTGAACAAAAATTATAATCAGTAAGTCAATCTAATTTTGACTTTTCATCCCGTCATATCACTTATTTCGTATACAGTTAACCGAAGAACTATGTACTTGTTTATATTCGATAATCTTGATTATATTTTCTTGAAAAGAGCTTAAACCAGATTGCCAAGCGAAACGTTGGATTTACTTCAAATTTATTCGTTGAGATTTCACAAATACATTCTTCCTCCCTAACGGACAAGCGGTCACTTTGTAACATGGTGCTGGGTTATAATAGAGGACTGGTATCTGTCGGTTTGAGAGATAGTCCAACACAGTGGCTTGAGGCTATCAAACATGGTTCAGAATAGAAGCCCATGGCGATAGTGAGAGGAACTTCTTTAGCTGAAAAAATTCCTTCTGGTTATATTTTTCCTAACTGAACTGTTTCTTTCATTACTTTTTTTTCGCTCTCAACTACTATTTACAATTCACTTTTGTTCCTTTTTTATGGTACTCTCGTTCTGCTCCTATCTCTTAACAATTTCACTTTTATTATGTGTTACATAACAATTTTGGTGCTCCTTTGTATCAATGTTTATGTCTAAATAAATAAAATAAGAGGAGCACTAAGAAGTTTTTCGCGTAGTGTACATTTACCATAGTTGCTTACAAACGAACTGGAACATGTTGAACATTTGTAAATCTTACCGAGTTCAAGAAAACTGTGACTAAGCTAACACATACCAAGGTGAGATGACTTACCAGTCCACTTCGAATTCTGCTGTAAGATTTTACTAGCTAAACTATTATTAGAAAATTTTCTCGAACTGTCTCCTAACTTTGGTTATTTAGGTTTGTACAAATAACAGATGGCAGACACCAGAACCAGGTCTGACTAACATGACCTCTGAAATCCTCCTATACACTTTAGTCCAATGTTCAGTTGGAACTAGCTTGAGATCAAGGAGATATTAGTATGGTGGCCAAATCTTCACTCTGCTTCAGATTTTGGAGGAAGATTGTACTTATCACCTAATAATTTGAAAGACAAAATTCAGGTCTTTGTATCTTTCAGCAATAGTATGTTGATAAGAGCAGTCACTGTATGTCCACAACCAAATCGTTGATTCATTATCTTATCATAACAATGTAGCTTCGTCATATAGTGGTCTAAATACATCCTTTATGTTGTGGATGTGGTAATAATAATAATAATAATAAAACCAACTGTAGTTGTAGTTAAGTGTAGCTTCGTTATTCACTAAGTTAGTGACTTGATTTCCAACAACAGGTTTAAACAGCTCATTATCGTCTAAGAAAAATTGTCTTCAGTTGATGTAATTTAGATGTGCCGTAGGTATTCACGTAAATCAGTTTCATGAAGAATGTTTTAACAACGACTTCAAGGTTTTGTGATTTTTTTAGGAAATGGCTTCTCGGGTAGCTGCAAAAGTGACTCGCAAAACAAAGGCAGTGGCTGATTCTATAGTTCATCCACCATTTCTAAAATTAATTATACCAGCACAGCAAGCCCGACCAGCACCACCTTTAGGACCACAGCTAGGTAAAGTAAGTTCATTCTGCTTAAAAGACAATCAAATTTTTGCTAGCGAAATGTGAACATTGCTCATTTCTGTAAAGATTTCAATGAAAGAACGAAAGATGTTGTAGAGGGAACTCCAATGCCGTGTTTTATATCGGTCAAGGTAACCAACGTTTAAACATCATTTGTTTAGGCCGATCGATCATACGACTTAGTCATCAGTCACCCATCATCTATGCATTTGCTAAGAATGGCTGCGGCAGCTAAGAAAGGTGCTTCCTCTCCAGGTTAGTCTCCATTTCATGTACTCTACTTTGGGCATTCGGATTTAATATCAAGCTATCTTGGTGATATATTCGTAACTTTGTGCAGCGTGACAAAAAGTTTGTTTGTTCCTTGCCTACTTATAGCATAGGGGATTGTGATGGGCAGTACGTCGTACTTTATTATTCCACAGTTGTATAACAGTCTACGAAAGCTTGAGTTAGTTGCAAACACTTGATCATTAAGGTCTTCGAATCATGTTGGGACCACTGATCAAGTAATGTTAAGGTTAATAGTAGGGTTTTGTAAATGGTTAGCTGATCAATTAAGCTATAAACACCCGGTGACTAAGGTTGTCATGTATGCACAAACACAGTCTATTCTAGTCCACTATGTTGGCTGAAATTGGGATTTGTTACAGATGAATGACCGGACCTTGACCATCAGTAGGTAAAGAGATCGATCGCTGTAGAAAAAATACATCTCTAGATTAACGACTTCAAGATAATCACAATCAATAGTTATATTTGTTAGGTGACATCGCCCAATCGATCTATCGTAGTGGCTCGGATGCACCCATACTTTCGCTCAATCTCGAATTTCGTACTAAGCACCATACCCTACTTTATCTATTTGATTTTGAATATATGTGATCATACAAGCAGACCGTGGTTATTTATATTGGTTTCACCTCTGAAAGCATAGAAGTGGACGGCAATATGTATTTAGACGTATTGCACTAAAGTTAGCTGAAGTATTTAAGTTACTCAGGCATCAGGACCAAAAAATGCTCAATTACTTTATGGTGTTTTCAGTAAGATAAGTGTAATGTCATTGAATTCGCCACCAAAATCCAAGGATTTTTGTGTAGTTCTAAATGTTAGTTGTAAATTTAAGGAATTTATCCTGAAATCTAAATTTATGTATTATAACTGCAGGTAGTCTTATATACCCATGCTTTTTTAGTTGTGCACAGATGCCTTTTTAAACATTTTAGGTACTGAAGTGTGTGGACGTCTTTCTCTTAAACATATCTATCACATTGCTGAGCTCAAAAAACAAGATCCACATTTGTTTACAGTGGATTTGCAAGATATTTGTAAAATGTTAATTGGTACAGCACATCGTTTGGGTATTGAGATTGTAACACAAGATGACATCGAATCTGGAAAAGTTGACTACACACCCAGTGGATATGCGAATTTCCTCCAAGATCGTGAAGCATATCTCAAACAGAAAAAACTAGAGACGGAAACTGCCAAACAAAGCAAAATGATGAGATTGTAAATCAATATCTTGTATGCAGTAGAAGTGTAGCTTTCCCAACATTTAGCAGTATTTTTTATTGTTATAAATTTGTAAAGTCGGCTTAATAATGAAAGCATTCGGTTTTCAACCAACTGATCGCAGACTACATATCCACTTTTTCTAATTGTTTGGTCAGTGGGATTACACTACTAACCCTCATATACACAATCCAGTCCAAAGATATGCCTAAACCTGTGCTTAACAAATAATTTACTATCTTTAAAATTAGTCCATTCTTTTAGTACTGTATCTTTCTGTAACACTAAAGATACTTCGTGTCAATTAACCTATTGATTTTGTTTGTGTAAGGCTTAGCAACAAATAAATCATATCAGAAATGGAGACCGAACCATAAATGTGGAGGATCTCAACTCAATAATTTTTCATGTTGTGAACGGCCTATGCTTTCTGTAAGTCACAACACTATCTGATTGTAGATAGCTTAGGGTTCAAAAATAGTAAAAATGGGACATACCTCTAGTGCAAAAGCGTATTTAATATGACGACATAGACCAAACGACTTATGCACAAATGACACTAATGTAGATTACCACCATATGAGAACGGGAGTCCTAGTGCCCCAACTAACTGAGTAGCACCAGACACATGTATGACCTTAAATAATGACAGTCCCTTAATTTCGCGAAATATCAAGGTAGCGTAACGTAATACAAATCACTCGTTTGTATAAAGTGATCAGGCTTTAACAGCTCGATAAGTAACTACATGAAAAATAATTTTTGGATTCAGTATACGACTCATATGCATTACTAAAACTGTCAAATAATTCAGCTGTAGTTAACGTGTTTGGTGTTAGCAGCCAGTGTTATATGATGATTAATAAGATCAGAAATCAGTGTGATTCCATACAATAGAAGTGATCATGCAGAGTTAAACATTATTCAGTACTGCTATTTTATTGACACTCCATCAAACGAAAGAATACGCCTCAAAACCGAGCTTATATTCTAGATTTATTAAGAACTGATAAGCCACGGTTTTCAATTATGAACGTTAGGTTAGTCACATTCAACGCCTGCAACCACTCTTTCTTACAATCAAGCGAGTAACTTATTGGAATTTTACTAAGTTCTAGTCATTACACTTATATACTCCAAATTTTCGAGATAACCTTTCATATATTTGACAAGTAAACGCAGCCGACTTTAGGTAGTTGACACCAATTTCTGTTAATTAGTTACTAATATGTAGCTTGTTTCAACTGATTTAGATGGTAGATCGCTTTTCGGACGTGGCGTACATCGTGTAGGCTGAAATCCCCTAGTTTTATAAAACTCACATTAACAAAATTATTGGTACATAACTTATATGTATTAAAAAGGTGGTGTAGTGTATGGGAATTACCATTTCGCTCAAGTTACAGCCAGGGTATATTAAATTGTAGAGTTTATCTATACAAATGATAGGAAGTACTCAAAAAGTCAGAAAACAAGGAAGTACACAATTGTTTATATAATGGCTTGACAGTGTTCATGTTGGGGTTCCATAGATCGAGAATTATCCTTTCTCATTTGAGGATAACTACGCCAAAGTGGAAGTTCAACATTTTGACCTAGAAGCTGACCGCAACGACAGCATGGGGCACTGAACAAGTCGCGATAACTGTGAAGCCAAGCACAAAACCCACGAATGGCAGAAGGAGGTTTATATTCATTAGAAAAATGAAGAAGGGCACATTGGGCTAGGGAAGTGATACGCCGAAACAATGGATGACGACTTGGTGTAAAAAGATCCAGCTTCGATTGATGTATACTACAAAAGCGGATGAGTTTTGAGCTTCGCTGCTGTCTATGGTCTGGAAGTGATCGAGCTTTCGAGTCAGGACTTAGTAAAGAGACAACAGTATCACGAATTTTCGGCAATGAATCAAGACCTGAATCAGATAATAGTTCGTCGGTTGCTAAGGATAAGGGTTTTTCCTCAATATTTAAATTGTTGTTCGGGAAGTCAGAGTGTGTTTTTATAATCATCGGTTCCGATACTCCACGAACAATAATTCTTTCTGGATTCAACTGACGAAAAGTCACAAAGCACTGCATTATCTCACCAACCTTTAGAAAGACAATAAAGAGATTAACAAAATGACATGAAACTGAGGTTGGGTTGAATTTTAATGGTTGTTTTAGGATAGTTTTCATAATAAAATTGAAGTACTTTTTAGAATAAAGTAATCGTAATAATTCTTTTCTTAATTAACACTACGAAGTTTTCTGATGTAAAATAAAGTTTGTTTACCTCCTGGAGTGTGGCAATAAATTTATTAAAAACAGATGATAACAAGTCTAGATAATACCCATTAAATCATCATTAACTATGCATACAGCATGACACAAGTTCTTTTGCATAACCAAGAGGTTGATGTTGTACATTGACATGCATAACCGAGGGAAGGATTTTCCTAGTTAGGTACATAACTTCTATCCAAAAATAGTGAAGTGAGCAGTTCAGTTAGGAAAAATATAACCAGAAGGAATTCTCTCAGTTAAAGAGGTTCTTCTCACTTTTATGAAGTAAAAACAAGTTAAAGCAGGATCGTCATCGTCATGTTTGATAGCTTCAAGCCACTGTGTTGGATTATCTCTCGAACCGACAGATACCAGTTCTCTCTTATAACCCGGCACTATGTTATAGACTGATCACTTCTCTAATCAGTCCCAATGTCGGCAAATAATGCACAATATGGAATTCATTGGGACGACATTATTACTTCGTCTAATCCGAAATAGAGCTTTCTCGTTAGCCTTCACATTTAGTGTAATTTATAGCCAAGTTCCTGGTAAATGAGTCAATTAAATTAAACTTCGACTTGTCTACAGAGGTTCGCATACTTGAACAATATTAGCACACACAATAAGTAACTCGCAAATTGATATATTAATCCGGAAGTGGAGTTGCGTTCTTCTGAAATATTACATTGCAATCACTGAAATGTGCTCCACAATTCCGATGATCTGTATGTAATTTGAAGATAAACTTTCGAAAACACAGTAATGTATGTCGAAGACGTGAAATAACGTGTGGAGTACCAATTAACTGTATTTGTATGTTTGCATAAGGAACTAATAAATGTTACTCCATAAGACCACTGATGAAAATGGCCATAAAAATACCACTACATAAAGTATGTTTAACAATAAATTTCCTTATACTTACTCTTAAATGTGCTACGGATACGACAGATGATGGTTCAATTAACGTTATAGTGAGGTCCGGCAAATTAACATTTAATTCATTGAGTAAATGTTCCAAATCAGCACCATAATCTCGATTGATTATATTGAGAAAATCCGTTCGCCTGCGGGAATGATCTGTATTTAAATGAGAGCTATAAGATAGATAGATTGCATCAATTTACGTCAACATTAGCATGAATTAAAGATGATTTATTCGATTGATAATCTTGGTGGGATTAATTTGATGATGGTTTCTTGTAACTAAGGTCAAATGCAATGATGAATAGTATGTGGTTAACCAAGTAATACAACCTATTATTGACGGCAAGTGTATTGCTTATTGATAGGTCTTATGGTCGGACGCTTAAATTGGTTTCCTAAGCTCTGTTGATAACCCCTGGCTAAATCTAAACAACTTGAACAATAGAGATAGGATGCGAGGTTTGAAAAGAACGCTCCACTGCAAGGCCAGTTTATGTATTTATAACATTTCAGATGGTCTTGGGATTCTGGGAGGTTCTGAGATTATATATACTAAGTGTAGTTGCAGGATCTGTAGTCATATTGTCAGAAATGCTACATGTGACTTTACTTTTGAGATGTTTCTGAGAAGCTTCTATTTAACACTGATCGAATAAAATGCTTCCAACATATACTTAACAGGGCATTATATATGACTAAATTGTTCGAAATGTATAGCCCAAATATGTCACGTTTTTCAGATCAACTCCACCTCCTCATTGCTCCATCAAAATTGATAAAATGGAATAATTGCTTTAAAGTATCCCAGAGTATTAGTTAATGACTTCGACATTATATGTTTATTCAGACACTATATGACTTATTCTACCTCCAATACAGTTAACATGACATAACATAGACAAATCATATGAGACAAGGTTAACCTTATGAAACTTATTTTATCGACAAATTCTAAGTGCCAGATATAGTTAAGTTTCATGTCTATCAATAAGATTATTATATCTTCGCTGTTTTACGTGTAAATAAACGTGTCGTTTATAGCAAGAAAAGTCACAGCAAATTTTACGTAATGTGCTCGCTTAGCAGAATGTAGTAATAGAAAGCAGAATCCGAAAGTGTTGGAAAAATTAACTGAAACTCAGGATACATCGACGTTAATATATTATTAACGATAAAAATCAAAAGTACCGTCTGAATGCGGAGCAAGCCAGTAAACCTTCAAGCACAGTACGAGTGCGTCCCCAATATCGATGACTCCAACGTTCCGCTTCGATTCTATCCATAAGCCAGTCAACACGACGACAATCGGATTCTTTCCCGTGATCATCGGTCCCCATGTACTGAGATAGCGAAGATTCATATAGCCAACTATTACGGCTAAATTCTAACTGTTCAACGGTGTTAAACAGAGATAATGCATTTTGTAAACCATGGTCACTAGGTCGACCAGATAACCGATTGACCTGCATTCGACTGGCTAGGTGATCCAAATTATTAAAAACATCACTAAAATAAAAAACAAGTATGTTAAATAAAAGGCTTGGGAAAGATATATGTTTGAAGCAACTAATTGGCAACACATTTAAGAACTTTCAAAGCCCTCAGTGGAATCATATTCTCTCGGGTATTTTACAACATAGATGGGGATCAAAATTAAGTTTAATCAAAACGTGAGCGGTACCTGTAGTTTCGACGTATATATAAACTAATCATTGGTTTCGGGAGCTTCCTTATATGTTCCATTTTGTGCAGAAATATAAAAACATAACAGTTTAAAACGTAACATTATATTCATATTGCAACTCTTAGGTTGAAATACTAAGGACTAATATGATGCATTGGTTCTAATTGTGAACTACAGATTAGATTTGAATATAGTAATGTTAGCAGAACATTAACTTGGCTTTGTCCAGCACATCGGTAGCGTTGCCCTTTCGAATCAATGCATTTGTTCTAAGGCTTGATTTAGTGAGTAACTGATAATCAGCTAAATCATACCATTGTTCATGGTTTGTCTATCGACATTGAGAGTAAAAAAAGACTTCACATATGGATATAATATAGGGAGAAAGAATTAATTGGTAGAAAAATATAAAGCACTTTTAATCTCAAAGTTTAAGGGCAGAAAAGGAGTGTATACACCTACACTAGTGTGATCGATTCTGAGTCATGTCACCAAGAATCTCCAAACATTGGTTACGATAGTCACGTGGACCCCAACCAAGTAATCTGCATCTAACAACATGGCTCAGACTACAAGTCAGTGACTTCAAGGATTGATGTCGTGTTTTGGTTTGGCTGCCCCTAATTTTCTTCCAACCGTCTCCAAAATCACTCAGCTTTGCACTTCATGGTAATCGGTATTTAAGCATAAGTGACACGTGGCCCAACCATCTCAGTCGATGAAGATTTACAACCTCATCAACTGATTTAACATCATTCCCCAATACCATATGTCTAAACTCACTATTACTTACCCGGTGATCCCAGCAGATGCGAGCAATATTTCTAAGACATCTGTGATTAAATACTAGCAACTTACGAGTATCGTTTACCCCTAATGGCCACGTTTAGCAGCCGTTAAGTAAAACAGAACGAACTGCCGTGCAGTATACCCGTCCCTTAATTGACAGACGGATATCTCGCCTTCACCATAGGTGACGTAACTTGGTAAAAGCCAAACGAGCTTTCTGAATACGTGTACAGATTTTGTCAGACACCAACCCATTAGGGCTGATCAGACTTCCAAGATAATTGAAGTTGTCGACGTGTTCGACTACTTCACTACCTATCCTTAGTCAAGGTGTTGACGCAGGTCAGTCCTGAAGCAACAACTTGCATTTATAGGGGGAGAAACGCATCCTCAACATTATAGCATTGTTGCACAGTGCTACCAAAAGACTCCCAGATTTTAGATAAAATATTAGTCAACCTAATCGCTAAAACTGGATCACTATACTTAAAGACATCTGGAGCCAACCCGCCTAGACCAGCTTCTCTCCCTCGTTTCAGATTAGCTATAGCTTTTTGAACTTCAATTAGAGTCGGGGGACGTACGTCAATGTTCCATTCAGGCTGTTTGGGAATGGTGGGTACTTGTAGAATAGCTGAAGACTAGCTAAACTGTTCTCTAAAGTGTTCCGCCCATCGATCTAAGCGTCTGGGCTGAGGGCAGATAAGAGTGTCGTATTTTTCCGAGATAGTCTCACATCTGACTTTTCAATTCCAGTTTCTTTTATTACTCCGAAAAGCTGTATGGTGTTACCTAAAACCGCTGCATTTTCCATCTCTTTTGCTTTCGTTGCCCGCCACTGTTCACGGTCGTCCCTTAGACTTTTGGTTAACCTAGACCTGATTTGTTTTCACTCGTCATCATGTTCAGAATCTAATGTGTTTAGGCAATTTTCCAAGTCTTCTTCTCACCTGATTTGATTGACTATTTTGTGCAATGCCAACTTTTCACACGATAAATTCTTCGTACCAAGAGTTTGAGGGAGGTTGTTGCGACATTCAGGTACAATCCCGTTTGTTTTTCCTTCTCCAGTTGTAAATAGAGGACTAGGAATGTTTTCACACTTCGTACTACCATTTCTATTGAATAGCATAAAATTTTCATCCACAATCTTATTTTTTTCCTCAGGATCTTTTTCATCAGATTGTATAGAAGTCAACAAATTAGTCAGGAGTAGTCTAAGTCGTTGAATTTCATATAAGCTCTCCTGTGCAAGAGATGAGATATTATTCTGCACGAAACTGCCAGAATAAAATGTTGGAAAATTCACATTCATTGCTGGATGAGGCATTGGTGGGCATTCCATAATGGGAGGAATATGTGTTGGTTTAATATTTGGTTGAGAGGCAAACATTTCATAATTGAGATAAAAACCTAAAAAAACAAACGTAACTTGAGACAAAGGAAAAGTTAGGAACGGTGTGGTGTATAACTATTAGTATCAAATAAGATCCCAATATGCGAAATCCAAAATATAGGGGTGTATTTAACGGTTAAAACTGCTATGAATATGGCATGAAAATGACCGGACGAAACGATCGATTTTCTGAAGTAGACTAATAAACAACCAACAAAAAAGTAGTGACATAGGCTTTCCACATGCATTAAACTTTAAAAAGCCATAAGCACTCGTTCTTGACACAAATTTCAGCTCCTCTAGGAAAAACAAATGAATACGATGAGCATTGTATCCCAATCTGACTAAATTGGGGAATACCCGAAATTTCCCCAAAACTTAAGCGATTTTTCCCAGAATCTTATTACAAATATTTCTTACAACTTAATGAAAAATCCCGAAATCCCCCAAAGTCTTCCCAAAATTGAGATTGAGATCGGCTTACAAACAATATTTCGTTCGGCCAAGGCACAAATATTCGTAATTTGAACATGATCCCATTGGTCTGTATTCTAAATATCAATACACACAGACAACACTTGTTTGTTTTCAAACAAATGCACAATATAATGGGATCCCTTAACTTACATATCAGAAACTAAGTTTTCTACGAACTCTTGTAAATGTTGACTAACTGTTCATAACAGTGAAGCCAGAAACTTACGCTTGTCGAGGAAGAATGACGAAGAACTACAGAAAAGGGAAGGAACAAGCAAATTCAGTAACTATAATTTATGGAAGACCTTTTAGCGACGTTAAAGTGACCTTAATAATTTTTGGTGAGACTATAATTTATGGACCTTTGAGTGACTCTAAAGCGTCCTTCAAAATATCCACCAACTGACTAGACTCAGATTTGTGTGGTAAGGACAGAAGGCCTACGGCCTATGTTATTCCTTTTCTAGTATGCTTCTGTGAGTGTCCAGTCTTCTCTTGAGAGTCGATTGAAGGTGCGGACACCACTGCTTCAGGTAGCAGGTTTCAAGTATTGATGACTCGTTGTGAAAACCTGTATGCCACGGGTATTTTGTTCGTTCTTGGCTTTTCTACTCGCCTGCTATGTCCTCTAAGATGTCCTGATCTAGTGGGGAGAAAAAGAGAATAAGTTAGGTCCAAAATCATTTCTCAGTATTCTGTACATCAAAATTAGATTTCCTCAATCTGCGATAGGACAGAGTAAAGAGGTCCAGCTTTTCAAGCCGCTGTTTGTATGATAAACCCCGGAGTTCTGGAGTTGCACAGGTAGCTGCCCTCTGTACTTTTTCTAGGATATCCGAGTCACCCTTTAAACAGGGGCTTGCAGACTGAACGCAGTTCTCAAGCTTGGTTCTCACTAAGGATGTGTAAACTGTGGTGAACATGGTAGAATATAACTTAGTGAATGTCCGTTTTAAAGCCCAGACTGTTCGAAATCCCTTAGCTGCGACTTCCCGGCAATGGGCCGTCGTCTTAAGATCATGACTCACTGTCACCCCTAGATCCTTATGAGACCGGATAATGGCAATTCCCTATGTTGTACTTAATAAACTTTAAATATCCAAAGTGCATGTAGATACACTTTTCCGCGCTGATAGGCATCAGCCACTCTTTAGACCAGTTAATCATATTATTTAAGTCTGCTTGAAGCGTCTGTGTCTCCAGTTGTTACTTGCCCGATCTTTACATCGTCAGCGTATAATAACATTGGAGACTGTACTATACTTGGAGGATCATTAACATACATTATAAAAAGTAAAGGACCTAGGACGGAACCTTGAGGTATTCCACTAAGTACTGGTCTCCAGATGGAGCACTTGGAATTTATTCTTACTTTCTCTCCACGACCTACTATGAAATCCTTAATCCATTTTAAAAGAGGTCCGGCAATACCAAGGTTTTCCAACCTCAATAGCAGTCTATTAGTTAGCACCTTGTCAAAAGCCTTACTGATATCTATGTAGACAACATCCGCTGAGTTTCCATTGTCTAGCGCATTAATCCAGAACTCCCTTGCTATAAAGAGGTTCGTTGTACAGGACAGACCCTTTCTAAAACCATGCTGTCCGTAGGTATGGTATGTGCTTTGCACCTTCGAAGTGCAAAGTACTTCTACAAGACTGGCAGGATTTTAATCCTGTACTCACCCTGGATGGTGATCAGATAGAAGTAGTCGAGAAGTTCGTGTATCTGGGTAGCTATATAAGTGCTGGTGGGGTGTGAGTGATGAGATCAATGCACGTATAGTGAAAGCCGGAGCGGCCTATGCCAATCTGGGCCATCTTTGGCGGCTTCGTGATGTAAAAGGTCGGATTTACAACGCGTCGGTGAGAGCAGTTTCGCTCTATGCTTGTGAAACCTGGCCTCTCCGAGTTGAGGACGTTAGACGACTCTCTGTATTCGATCATCGATTTCTCCGAAGGATTGCTGACATCCAGTGGCAACACCATGTTAGTAATGCAGAGGTTCAGCATCGTGTGTTCGGGCACAGAGAAGATAATGCAATTGGTGTCACCATCTTGAAACACCGACGTCGGTGGCTTGGACATGTTCTACGAATGTCGTCCCAGAGAATTCCACGTCGTGCATTGTTTGCCGACTCTGGGACTGGTTGGAGAAAGCGGAGAGGTGGTCAGTATATGACATGGTGTCGTGGTATGAAAGAAAGCCGCAAAGGGCTGGCTTGTGTCGGTCCTTCTCGACTCCCTGGTTGGGGTCCGAGAGATGGTGCTACACAGTGGCTAGAGACGTTATCAGATATGGCTCAGAATAGAAGCCAGTGGCGATCCTGCTGTAACCTTTTACTTTCTTCATAAAAGTGGTTGTTTCCTTCTTAACTGAAAGATTTCTTCTGCTTATACCTTTCCGTTCCCTCATCATGACTATGATTATTACTACATTCCCTTACACCAATCTCTTCATTATTGTTTTTTTTACGTCCCTCATTTTTTTTCTTAAATTTTCATTGTTTTGTGTGGCGCACTCCTGTACCAATATATATGTGTTCAAATAATAAAAAATAATAATAATAAAACCATGCTGTACCAAGTTCAGCAAGTTATTGGTTTCCATAAATGCCGTTATAGTCCGTTTGATTATTCTTTCCAGTATTTTAATTACAACACTGGTAAAGCTTACGGGTCTGTAATTCGATGGAACTTGTCGTGGACCTGTTTTATGTATGGGAGTGACGATTGCGTCCTTCCAGTCCATAGGTAACACACCTTGGTCAAGTGACATATTGAATATCACAGTCAGTGGGGCCGCGATATATTGGGCAATATGTCTCAAGATTTTGGGGTGTAGTTCATCTGGTCCTGTTGACTTCTCCGTGTTTAGGGTGATAAGAGCCTTAAGCACATCGTTTTGGTCGAAGTCCACGGTGAGCAGCTGGTTTGTTGACTCTGTATTTTGGTCTGGTTCTTCCTCTAGAGGAGATTCCTGAGTGAAAACTGCACCAAAATAGTCAGCCATAGCCTCTGCTTTTTCCTGATCTGCCTCTATCATTTTAGATTCACTTCCTACTTTAATTAGGTTGGGAATCCAATGATGCATCCTTGTTCTGTAGTTTATGTACGAGAATATTCTCTTGGGCTGCTTGAGTGCAGATTATGCCAGCTGCATTTTATATTTTCTTTGAGCTTCCCAAATTTTTGTTATACACTCGTTTCTTATCGATCTGTAGCGTTCCATCGTACCTGTTTTGCCAAGGCGGATGGCAACATCGCAGCATTTCTTTTTTGTCTTAGTAAACGTCGAATATCCCGACCTATCCAGGGATGTCCGTGCTTCTTTTTATTTGGGACAGTCCAGGGTATGTATGGTTGAGTTACCCAATTGTATAATTGCCTGAATAGAGTCCATGCCTCTTGTACTGATGCCTTGAAGTCGATTTCTCAGTTTTTCGGCCAATGCTGCGGAGTTTATTGCCTCCATGTCTGCCTTCCATATATTAGGACGGGCCGGCGCGACTGTTTGACAGGCAATCTCAGCCATGAATTTGAATAAGATGACTGCATGGTCACTTCTCCCTAGGGGTGGGAAGAAAGTCATTTGACCGTCATCACTGTGTGTGAAGACTAAATCTAAGAGAAGAGTTTCTTAAGTCGTATCTTGTGGGATCAGTTTACGTGAGTTGCCTAGAATCAGGTTCACTTCTTCAACCGTGGTAAATGTAACCTTCAAGAGGCGGTTTTTCTGATGACTTTCAGAATCCACCTTTTGTCCTATTCTATAAAGCTTACAAATACTAACTCCTGAAACTGTATCTGGGAGTAAATTGCTTATTTAGGACTTAATATGACTGAATTTGTGTTCAAACCTAGCCTTTGGTTCCTTATCGGAAGATTCTCTTAACTTATGAAAAATGACTTACCACTCAGAGAAGTCTGTCTTGACACGCAGTGGAGTTTTGTTTCAGATACCGTCTCTTCCAATGACTTAGTAACCAGCTGCGTTTCACCCACAGCTTTTTTCTTCCCATTTCTTTTTCTCCGTACTGAAGTCCATTTATCATCACTCAGGACAGCCGCACTGGGACTATTTGGAACGGTGACAGTTTTATCCGGGTCTTCAATTTCTAATAGAGGTGTATGATTACCAATATCAAGTGGCACTTCATTCCTCGTTAATGCTAACGGATCGGTAACTTTTTATTTGTACAGCGAAACATACAAAGCCAATGCGAGTTAGGCTTCGAGAATCTTTTGTAAGCCGTAGGACTTAGACGTGTACACATCTAATGGTATCACTTTTTACATTCATCGCACTGCATTCTTTCCTCAATGGGGAACAAGCAGTTTGCTTTCCCACATTTATAAGTCTTACTAACCATTGTAATTTGATTAAAAAGGTTTAAAACACAATATGATCACAATGTGAACACGAGTGTCAGTCAATGAGTAGTAAAAGGCACCACGGGACAAAGTTTAGCAAAAAATTCAAACATTAACTAAAGTGCTTTTAGTTTAAGTAGATCGAGGATGCTTTTTGGTGCAACAAGTACACAAAGCAAGGATAATCACAACAAGAACAAAAATCAACACCAACCTCGCACTGAAATTCAAGACCTATTATCGTAAACCATACTACTTCACCCATGAACTATATTCTCACCAAAGGACATTAGGACTTTAGATAAAGTGTGAGAGATTAATGAGCAAGAAGAACGTCGCATAATTATTACTTGCAAATTTACTTCTAAAAGCGTAGTGAGGAATTCCGAATATGTGATCAAGGACATTCTCAGCGTACAATTGTTAGTTTCAGTTTCAGTTTTGGAAAAACAGGAGGCTTGATGGCCTGTGATAGTCCTGGCAATGGTGGTCTCTCATTTGATCCAACTTTCTTTTGAAAGGTTTGACGGACGGATGGTCCTTAAGAGCTCACCAGCTTTCACGAGCGACTAATTAGTTAGTGAGACAAAAATAATCTATTCTGAAACCGTGCTACTTCTTCGAAAAGATCTAGTTTTCATCGAGCTACTTAAACAACTCCGAATAATCTTTTCCAAGGTTTTAACAACCACACTAGTTAGGCTAACGGGGAGGTAATTCTCAGGTTTGTGTTTCGTACCTGTTTTAAAGATAGGACTTACTATGGCATTTTTCCATTCTTTTGGTAAACGACCCTGCGTAGCGGATAGGTTAAATCATATACTTGAAAGGGTTCGCAACGAAGTTAGACAATTCCTTTAGTAGCCTAGAATGTAATTCGTCGGGCTCCGTGAATTTACCTATGTCACGCTTATTTAACAGACCAAAGATATCGAGCTCTTTAATGGTCATGCTATCCAGTGTATGTGTGGGGGGATCTGTATGCGCTGATGGGAAGGGTGCTTCTGTGGTTTATACATTGCTGAAGTAGTTTGAGAACACTTGAGCATTACCAAAGTCGTCCTCCACTAGTGACGCGGCAGTACTGTCTCTCCATAGAGCAGAAATATTTCCTCTTCTCTTTGTCCTTTGATTTATATAAGAATACAAGCGTTTGGACATTCTATGGATTCCTTGACAATTTTTTCTTCGTACAACTTTCTAGACTTACGGAGTGTCGAAGCACAGGCCTTTCGAGCTTTTCGACACTGAGATTTTGTCTCATCGGTCCCCAGTAACCTAAATCTATCCCACATTTTTCTTCCCTTACGGAGAAGGATGCGGACCTCCCTACTGAACCATGGTGGGGTGTTTCTCGACCCCCATGCTATAGTCCAAGGGATGTGGGGTGTGGTAACATTTAAGTATGAAGTTCGAAATGCGTCCCAGGCCGTTTCAATTGATGACTCTGGGTCTATTGTCCAATCTACTAACGATGCTGAGTGCATGATATCTGGTATATTTGCTTTCCAGACGTTAGGTCTGGATTTAGTTAACGCGTCCTTGTGTTTGACAGTTATATGGAAGTCGAAAGTTAAAACTGCGTGATCACTTTTACCTAAGGGTGGCATATAATGGAGGTTTGCAACGTCATCCACATAGTGAATTAGTAACAGATCTTGTAAGGATGATTCGGTGTCTGGGTCGTACCTAGTCGCTTCTTTTACATGTTGCACTAGGGCACATGTGATAACCGCATCAACTAGTTCCTGCTCGGAGGAATTCTCCGACGATTCAGTTCGCAGATTTTCCTAGTCCACCATAGGTTCATTAAAGTCCCCTAGGATTAGACATCGACCACTTTGGGAACAAGTATTGAGACTGCTTAACAGGATCTCATTTACCTCACAGCTTGGACTGCGATAGACCAAACCAATCAGCAGCTCTTGTCCCTTGCATTTTAGGCGAAGACTAACTAATTCACACGTCCCACTCTCGTGTGATACACTGTCGATAATGGCAAATGGGATAGCATTCCTAATGAATAGAGCTACTCGCCCTCCTTTACGCTTTTGTATTCTGTTGGCCCTTACTACCGTAAAACCCTCGAAATCAAGTTCCATACTATCTATAGCCTGTGTCAGCCAGGTTTCTGTAACTGCGATTATGTCTGGCTTTGTAGAGTCAATCTGTACACCTAGTTCCGATCGCATATTGAGTAAGATTCGGGCATTAGTGTAGCAGATCCGAAGCCTATTTAAGTGGCTCCATGCTTCACCCAGAGTAATCGAAGCCTTACAACCCGAAAATTTACCATTTTAGGTCCTTTACGCCAGTGTCTAACCTAAGCTGTTCTTTTTCGGTTCCCCGTCTTTTTACACGGTCTGCCAACGGTAAGTCCTTTCGGATAAAGACTTCTGAACCCTTTAATTTGTGTCCATTCTGTAAAATTAGGTCACGTTCGTTCGAAGAGTTGAATACTACTTTAAGCAGTCTGGAATGATTTGGTTTCAAGTTCGCTAGACTCCCTAGTCTTTATACCTTTATCAAGGTGACCCGGGTGATATTTTGAAGCATGAGTTGATTAAGCAGCTGCTTAATCAACACAATGTCATGCTCAAAACGAGCTTTAGGTTCAGAGCTCTTACACTCCTTGATTCTATGAAAAATAGCTGATCTGTTGTGGTGTTTGAACGAACTAATGATACTTTTGTACTTGTTGATTGCACGATTTCGAATTCTAAATTCAATACATTCGTTTGTGCTTGTGTCTTCTTAATTCAATTGCGTTATTTCTTGGACTCTTAGTTCGTCTGAGGCCTGGCAGAGAATTCATGCTGACTATTGTGGTCCGTTTCTTGGTAAATACTATGCACCAGTTGTTATTGATTCTTTTTCAAAGTGGCCTGAAGTTTTTTACAACTTCACCAAATTTTGATTTCACAATCTATGCATTAAGAAAGGTGTTTAATCGAGAAGGGGTTCCTATGGCTTTAGTCACTGATAATGGCTCTCACTTTGCTGCAGATGCAGTCACTACCTGGTTGAACGGTATAGGGTGCAAACATCTGTTTACTGCTCCCAGACATCCTTTTTCTAATGGTCAGGCAGAGAATTTTGTCAGGACATTGAAGACTGCTATTGATTCTATAGCCGCCTCAACATTTAATGAGCTGGAGAGGGGAGTAGATACCTTTCTATTGCAATATGGAAATGCCAGACATTCGGTGACGAAGGAGACTCCAGCAAGGCTATTGAAAGGAAGAATTCTTCGGTCGAATATGAGATGTTTGGAGTCTGAAGATGTTACATACTATCGGGGAAATGATCTTCGACCATCTACGGGTATTGTTCTGAAGAATGTCGGAAAATCGATGGTGCTAATTCTAGACATCAATTACTTAAGTACACACAGTCAACATGTTGATCAAATACATATTCAGGAACCAGGTGAGTCTGTTCCGATTTCTGTTGTTAATTCTAATGCTAATGAGCAAATTCTAGATTATACAGAATCCTTTTCCAATCCTTTTCCTTTTTCAGACAAGCTCAGGATGAATTTGAGAAGAAGACGTACGATTGATTACAAAAACCTGGACTCCAATTTAAGCTGTGGCGGATGTGGTGTTTGAACGAACTAATGATACTTTTGTACTTGTTGATTGCACGATTTCGAATTCCAAATACAATATGTTCGTTTGTGCTTGTGTCATACTTCTTAATTCAATTGCGTTATTTCTTGGACTCTTGGTTTGTGCTATAATTCAAATAATTCGAAGCATTATATCTGTCGCTATGATCAGCTTTCGATTTTACGACTACTTTCGCGGGGGTAGGATTACCTTTTATATCGCTACTTGTTTTCTTCCTTACGACTTGTGCCCATTCGTCAACGAAGCTGGGAGAAGCAACAACAGTTGCGTCAAACCTAGTGTTGGATTATGAGGGGTTGTCGACGACCTGAGAGGTCAGGTTATGTTTACCGCTTGAAACCGATCGAGCCTTGCGATTGCGGCTCCTAGGCGTTTCCTGTTGGAACCCGTCTGGGAGACGGAGAAGAACAGAACCTACTTTCCTTAGGCTTTTGTATAGACCAGGCCCCTTCGGAGACTGTTTTTCCTTCTTTGGCCAGCGTGAGTCATCTATTATCGAACTAACTTTATTTTGCTTCATGTCGATTGGTGTGTCGACAGATCAAGTGCTGTTTCCTGTGTCCCGACTACGCTTGCTAAAACACTTTCGCGGAATCTACCAGTGAGATGGCCTCGGTTAACAAGCTGTTTGCATCCGAACAGCACTGTTGACAAAGCCAAACGCAACCCTTTTTACTGAATCTTTTGAAAGGCGCAGGCATTGAGTTTGTGCAAACCTTGTTGTACCAGCTTTTGCACTCATCGCACTGTATGCCTCTTTCAACAGGATAACGACAACCCGGACGTTGGCAACTGCTTTTTTACACTGTCCAGTCATTAAAAAGAGGCTTTTTAAAAAAAAGAGTGAGATGCAATAATGCTCAGAGACAAAAAATGATCTATGACCGAAAAAGTGGAGAACTTTAGATTGTTAGGATCAAAAGTACTAACAGATACAGTAGAAAGTAAGGTACTCAAGAGTACTGACGATAAACTAATTGAGAAGCAGTAAACGATACTCTAGTCGAATACCTTAACTGAAAAAAATTCACTTAAAGTGAAAATAGTAGTCTTGAGGAAAAATACCACTGTCCTCTTTACTTAGCGCGCAAAAAAATTAGTTTGGGAAAGACAATAAAGTAGGTGCTCTGTGATAGTCCTGTAGAAAGCAATTTTCCGCTAATCTGTATTTTTAAGTGCCTCTGCAGGTTTGGGTTTAATTACGAGTAGAGTTTATAAGTTTTATTCATTGACGAAACTGTGGGAAAGGCGAAAGGCAACCGATAAGAAATTTTTCACGATTCACGAACTTTCTCGGAGTATTCTCATAAATTATCTGTTGTGGAGGGCAGGAACAATGAGGGCTTGTGTGACATTTGTACAAACTAATGATGCGTTGGAAATTAACAGACCGGTCTAACATATTGGTCCACTTTATCGTCCCTGTGGTCTAGTGGTTGGTACATTGCATTCTGGCCACACCCACCCAGGTTCGAATGCTGGAAGTGAAACTACGTTGATCTTCAAAACCCTATGTTTCAAAAAGGTGCAGTAATTTATCACTTCTTATGATTATATTTTCTTTTGTATTCTAGTTGCATCAAAAAGCATTTTTAGTCTACTTCAACTTGAAATATTTCGGTTAAGGTTTGAGATTTGCCTAATTCTGTCTTGTGGTACTTTCTTTCTCGTTGATTCTGACATTTGTATTCGTGTTGTTATAATATTGTGTTCTAAACCTTCTTAACCTTACTACAATATTTGGAAGTATTATAAATATGGACAGCATAATTGTTTATTCCTTGTGGAGGAAGGAATACCGTAAGGTACGTACAAAGTGCCATGAGATGTGTACCTCTTTAAGTCC